CCATCATGAATGCTGGTGTGTTTTGACTTCTGAAGCATCTGGATATTGGTCAGAGCTAAAGTTGTGGCATTTTGACTGTGATGTTCTGCTGATGCTTAGGAACCTCTTAAGTATGATGTACACAGCCATCATACCTCAGAAAGTGGCCCTTGCCTTCCTCATTCCCTGGGATGCTGCCTCATTGTCTTTCCTGCCACATCTTCGTTGGAAAGGATTATTAATTTGGGAGGCTGCCCTAGTTCAGCAAGCAATGTTCTGCAAGTGTTTTATCCAACTCACTTCACTGGGCTGGTTCACCCCTTAGCTTGGCCATGTTGCTTTATGTCTTGGCTGTCCTATGACTCTCACCTTCGTATCTCAGCCTTTAGGCCTCTGATGGTCAACTAACCAACACTCCATGTTTTCTTAGCACTAGTCATGGCCTCCAGTCTCCTCCATAGCCATGGTCATGCTTTGTGGGTATGCATGGTCAACAACAAAAATCAGAGGTGCCCAACCTCTTTGCCAGGGAGGCTTCCTGTTGGTCTGGAAATTTGGCAGCAGGGGAGCGGTGGCAATTAATATTGCCACTACTCCCCCACTGCCAGAGTTCCAAGCCCCATGCAGATGGATTGGTCCTGGCTGGGCCCTGCAGAGGGATCAGGTCTACAGACCGAATCTGGCTCTCAGATGGACCTGGCATTGCTCATACAGCCTTGTGGGCTGGAAAGGTCAGGCACCACTGACACAAACCAAATATAAACTCTAAATTGCTTATCTGCTAAGCAGTCCCTTTACTTTAATGTCTGCTGGGTTTCCTTCTCTTTAGGGTGTGTGAGCTCTTGCCCTTCAAGTTTTGTTGAGCTTTTTCTCTTCAGGGGACACAGAGTCCTGTTCCTGCCCAGACTGCAGCTCCTGCCCCTGAGCCTGGTGTGTATGTGCCTTTTGCTCACTTGACCTGGGCTTTCTTAACAGGGACCAGTAGTTTCCTATTAGCCTAATTGGCCTGATTAGTGGGCCTTCTGCTCTCCTCTGCTGCAGTCCTGCCTCCCTCAATCAATTGCCTTTGGCTTGGTCCTTGCAACCTGCTATTTACATGCTGGGGGCTGCAGCTCTTTTAATTCTGCACCCTGGTGCCACCCTTGATTGCAGGGCTTGGGCAGCACTTCTCATGGTGCTCTGGGATCTGGCAGCTGCTCCTCCCCAAAAAAACTCTGGACCTAGCAGGGGTCCCTCTGCATTTGGAATCAGTCTATATTCACAATAAGGTCTTCTTAAAGGAACTGTACCCCTCTTTGTTATGGGGTCAGGGCCCTAGTACAGTTCCTAATTTGAGGTTTCTGCTCCTCTGCTCAGGGTCAATAGCGATTGCCAGAATTGGGGTCAGGAAGCAATTTTTCCCCAACTCATGGGCAAGAAATACAGGCAAACTGGCCTTCCTCTATAGCAGTGGTTCTGAAACCTTTTTGCGGACCACTTGAAAATTGCTGAGTGTCTCGGCAGGCCACTTAATACAGGTTTTTGTTCTGCAAATCAAAGCACACAACTCATATTTTAATATCAGTAGTCTTACCTTACAAGTACATATATTCTCGATTTGTTCTGCAACCTTTCTACGGACCACCTGAATGGAGCTTGCGGACTAGCAGTGGTCCATGGACCACAGTTTGAAAACCTCTGCTCTATAGAATGGAGTATGTTTCTCTTGTTGAGAACTGAGCCTGTGTAGATCAATTGCATCTCTGTCATTATAGTGCTAAGTTACTTGCAGTGGCCTCATCTCCCCTGCTTTTTACCTGTGGCATGTTGTAGGTGTTTTTGGTTTCATCTTGTGGTTGTGTAAAGGTTTAGAATGGATAATTTTTAGGAAGCTTTGGGTAAATGTTTTCCAGTGAACACAGGGAAGTAGACTCAGTGGCCTGGGAGATGCCTTTCAGCCCTGTTTTTATAAGGGAAACAACAGTCTAAAACTTGCTGGAATCGATTAAAAGATGGATACAGGCCTCATGATTGGTGTTGGTGATAGAAATAGAAGCTAGCCTTATTAGCCTTGTAGTATAGTAAGTGTAGCCTTTCTCACTAGAGGGTGCAGGTGTGTGGCAGTGGTGATTCAGTGTCCCCAGTAGTACCTCAGTTTAACAAAATGGTACAGAAAAGCTGGATTTATTTATACCCATAAGCATCAGAGCCACAAGCTGGAACCCAACATAGAAACCTGATAACAGAATTACTTCAGTGAAACTTAAATTTCCAAGTCCAAACAGTCTTAAGGACTTTTCAGGGTGAGAATCTGCACCTTGTGCACAGCCTAAGCTGTTCCAGATGGCACGAAGACTTCCACTGCACGAAGACCTCCGTAATTACACTGGTTGCACTAACTTCTGCAGCCTTTTAGCAACTCGGGCCCTGCTCTGTAGCAGCAGTCAGTTTCTTTCTCTGTGGGGAAGTCCATCCTTCTCCCAGCTGCATTTAGACCAGGCGTGTCCACTATCTCCCAGGGCCTTTTCAGTGGTGCTTGGAGCATATCGGGGAACAAGGCCTGCTCCAGCCATACTGGCTCTAATGCCCTCCCCATGCTTTTCTCCTTCCCTTCCTGCTAGCCCTCAAAGCAGCCTGGGGGTTGTAGTTCAATCCATCATTCCCTGCTTTTCATTTTCATGGGCTTTTTGTAGCCCTGTCCTCCCTCTCCTATTAGCTGGTGGCAACTTCCTGCCAGCTCCTGGGGCAGTCTGGGATCTGTAGTTCAACCCCACTCCCTGGGTCTGGCTTTCCTGGGCCTGGAGTGGGCCCACCCTTCTTATCTTAACCTTTGGCAACCCTGGGGTGCGGGTTACATAAGAAATCGGGTGTTTTTGTTTTTGTTTTGATTTTTTGACTCTCAGAACTAAGTGCCTAAACCAAGCCAAAATAGCTTTCCTAGGATTTAATCCATTGCAGAGTTAGGTTTGTAACTCTGGTTGGTAAAATGCTCTCTTCTGTATCTTGGAATTGGGTTTTGCGACTGCATGGAGGGCTCAAAGCACACTTTTACAAGTTGTGCGGCTATTGTTTATTTTGGACTGAGCTTTTTCTTGTACTGCTGGTCAACAACACTTTTGGAAACCGCTATACAATCATGAAAACCTCTTCCAACCATAGAAAAGTAGGGTTGGAAGAGACCTAGTGAGATCATTTAGTCCATCCCCTGCCTAAGGCAGGATCATCCTTGTCAAAAATATCACAGACAAGTTTTTGCCTGCCCTTAAAAATTTCCAAGGGTTGAGGTAGCCTCTGCAGGTAATCTTTTTCCAATTCATAACCATCCCTCATAGTGAGAAACGTCTTCCTAATTCCCAGCCTAAATTTCCCTTGCTTCAGTTTGACCAGTACTCTTGTAGTCACAGAGAAGTCCTATCACCATTCTCTCCTTGTAACCACCCTTCAGATATTTGGAGTCAGGTATCAAATTCCCCCTCTTTTCTCCAGACTAATAATCCCTGTTCTTCGAAGCTTTTATGTACTTTCTGTTCAATTGTTCTGTATAGTTTAATGTGCATACTGTACAAGCTGTTTGGGTTGGTGTGTCCACTTGAATCTCCAAGTGAAGCTGGGCCCGCTTGTTACTGTTGGCTTCTGATGGTCTTCCTATCAGTTGAATAAGCACGTGTGACACACATGCATGTATTTGTTGGGTTTTGAAATGCAAGGCCTAGGGGTCTAAACATTATAATACCAGCAAGTTCATGTATATAAACAAGGGGTATAGGGAGGTAGGAGTAAGATAACTGAGGCTCAGAAGAACCACACAAGGGAGGATTGATTGCCTAATATTGGAACCTGGTTAGATTAAAGTAGGGAAATGCGAGCTCTATTGATCGGTGTACTCTTTAATTCATCTCAAACTGTGAATGCATTTTCTAGGAACCATATGTCATCACAGAGCAGAGCTTTCGTGTTCTTAGAAGTTCAGACTGGTGGCCTAATTTCTTTCATCTAAATGGAAGGGTACCAAAGATAGCAAGATCTGGTCTAGCATTGTACTGTTGCTTACAATTCTCCATATATATAGTTTCAAGTTAACTTCATAGAATCAATGAGTCAGAAGGGACCTAGACAGATCATCTAGTCCGACCCCCCTGCCATGGGCAGGAAGGAGCACTGGGGGTGGGAGGGGTCATAAGACCCTACCCAGGTGCCTATCCAGTCTCCTCTTGAAGATCTCCAGGGAAGGTGAGAGCACCACCTCTCTGGGAAGCGTATTCCAGGCTCTGGCCACCCTTACTGTGAAGTAGTTCTTCCTAATATCTAACCTAAACCTGTCCTCCCTCAGCTTGTGGCCATTGTTCCTGGGGACTCCAAGGGGGGCCCTGGTGAACAGACTTTCCCCGAGTCCCTGCTGCTGGCCCCTGATAAGGTTGTAGGCAGCCACAAGATCCCCCCTCAGCCCAGTCTCCTCTTGTGGAGACTGAAGAGATTCAGGTCCCTCAGCCTCTCCTCATAGGGCTGGCCACAGAGGCCCTCCACCATACGAGTGGCCTCCTCTGGACCCTCTCCAGGTTCTTCACATCTTTCTTGAAGTGTGGTGCCTAGAACTGGACACAGTACTCCTTGAATTAGTTTTCTGGTAAATGGTTTGTGAGGTGCTCTATTCAATGTTTAGTAGCACTTTATTTCATTAAAAATTCTTGATTTTTTTTTTTTTTTTTTTCCCCCCCTTCATTCATATTT